CAAGGGATGACCTATAGGCACAAGGGATGACCTATAGGCACAAGGGATGACCTATAGGGACAAGGGACGACCTATAGGCACAAGGGACGACCAATAGGCTAGTGAGCCGGTTGGCCGAGCGGATAGCACACTGGACTTGTGATCCTGTGGTCCCGGGTTCGATCCCGGGCGCCGGCGAGAAACAATGGGCAGAGTTTCTTTCACCCTATGCCCCTGTTACCTAGCAGTAAAATAGGTACCTGGGTGTTAGTCAGCTGTCACGGGCTGCTTCCTGGGGGTGGTGGCCTGGTCGAGGACCGGGCCGCGGGGACACTAAAGCCCCGAAATCATCTTCCACTAGTGAACAATGCTTCTATATCCTCCACCAAGATAATGTTATTGAAACAAATGATTAACACCAGTGCGCTAAAACGGAAACGAGAAAGAGAGCAAACTCCATTTATAACTTTGGCCCAAATATCAGAGTAACAAGGCTATCGCGAATAACCGAACTGAATTACGGGCTCGCCATAGTCCGTGCTACACGGACTCAATTCATTTTGAGTAGTTAAATCTAAAACAACAACAACAACATCGGCGCTGGAGCGCTAAGAGAACAACAAACGCATGTGCTCAAGCACGCATGTGCTCAAGCACGCATGTGCTCAAGCACGCATGTGCTCAAGCACGCATGCACGATTTATCAACGTTCAATGATATTAATAAAGCATTTTATTACTAAGTTCGTCTATGAACCTCGTCCACCTCGTAGCATGGTGGATAGCGCGCAAGACTCGTAATTCTGTGGCGCGGGTTCGATTCCCGCACCAGGCAGAAATAAATGGGCAAAGTTTCTTTCACCCTGAATGCCCCTGTTACCTAGCAGTAAATAGGTGCCTGGGTGTTAGTCAGCTGTCACGGGCTGCTTCCTGGGGGTGGAGGCCTGGTCAAGGACCGGGCCGCGGGGACACTAAAGCCCCGAAATCAACTCAAGATAACCTCAAGATGAGGCGTCAAACAGTCCCACTGAAGACGACAGAGAGCAGCTATAACACCCTCGTCCATCTGGTATAACTTCTGTCTCAAACCCTTCACTCAAGTCTCCTTGAGGTTATCTTGAGATGATTTCGGGGCTTAGCGTCCCCGCGGCCCGGTCCTCGACCAGGCCTCCTTTTTGTTACACATCCCCAGGTAGCAGCCCGTAGCTGCTACGGGCTGCTACCTCGTAGGTACCTGGGAGTTATTAGGGGTGAAAGAAACATTTTGCCCATTTGTTTCTGCCTCCACCGGGGATCGAACCCGGAATCTCAGGACTACGAATCCGAAGCGCTGTCCACTCACCTGTCAGGCCCACTGTCCTCGTCCCTAATCCCTCACTCCAATCCCCCCTGACTCCTATCCTCGTCCCTTACCCTCCCTCCCCCCCCCTCCCTGACTCATGTCTCCTCCAATCCCCAACTAAAAATCCCTTTCCATTACTTTATTCACCTTTTTTTTGTATGCTAACAGGTGTCCTATCGTCATGGGTGTTCCATGTTGCTAGTTATTAGAACACCTTCCTCTTCCTGTCCCATTGTTGGTGTTCTGTCCCTTCCTCGTTTTCTTTCCTTATCTGCTACCGCCTCTCCAGTGGTCCCAGTATATTAGTCTGACCTTCCCATAGCCTGCTGCCCTCTCCTCCACCATCACCTGCTGCCCTCTCCTCCACCATCAGTTTCAATTACTTACGAAGCGTGACTATAAACGTCACTCAACTATTACAACAATAACAAGTTTTCTATCCAGTGTTGGGTGCTCCTTTTCACAAGCTCCCCCCCCCCTCCTCCTCCCCTAATTACTCTCCCATCACCAACGCCTCCTAGTCACCCGACAGGAAACCTGGCCTGAAATTGCATAGTCTCTCTCTTTCATGATTGTAATTATCCGGCTAGCAAAAAGGGGCTTTTGTTGTCATCAGCTGATCTTATCACTCAGATCAGTTCTTGGTCTTCCCCCTCCCCCCCGTCCCCTCTACCCCCTATCCACCTTTCCGTACGTTTTCCCATCCGTCAATCTGTCTTCCTGACGGATGTATTGTGTCTGTCTTAATACCCGTCTAACACTGCCGACACACTCCCTCAAATACTATATCTCCCTTATGTTGCTGAAGCTATTCTGGCCCGCAGCCATTGACCATGTGCGGTGTTTTACGGTGGGTTTTTTCAGGGAAGAGTGGATCCCCTTGATGGATATGTCCAGGGGGAGTTCCGGTGGAGCTGTGGGAGTTGAGCCACGCTGGTGTAATTTGCAGCTACTGCTAATGATGGGTTAACGCAGGCAGGACACCTCTTGACCGATTACTGCAGCTAGCTAGCTATACGCCAATACGCACGCCTCTCTCCTCACACCATAATCCAGTTCTCTCTCTCTCTCTCTCTCTCCCTCTCTCTCTCTCTCTCTCTCTCTCTCTCTCTCTCTCTCCTCTCCCTCTCCTCTCTCTCTCTCTCTCTCTCTCTCCTCTCTCTCTCTCTCTCTCTCTCTCTCTCTCTCTCTCTCTCTCCCTCTCCCTCTCTCTCTCTCTTACAAATCCAGACTGGTAAAACATGTGAAGTTCCCTATAAGCATATCCAAATACAACAGAATCATACGGATAAAGCCTAACACCTGTAATATATACCGAACCATATATCATATTATAGGAAATGATTCTCTCATTTCCTATACCAGTCTTATCTCCGATCTTCATGAATGAACTCGTCACACACACTTTCTCTCTCTGCCATAAAGAAGACCTTTCAGTCACTTCACAGAACCTATGATAGGCCGGATACAGAGGATGGGGAGTTACAAGAACTGTGCTGATCTCAACAACCTGCCGGATCAGTCCACTATTCTTACTGCGTTATCACATCCCTGTGCTTTATTTCCTTTACTCGTTATTCCTTTACTCTGTTAAATATGATCTTTGGTTTTCACTTTATCGGTGCCTTTACGGATCTTTTATGTCGTGATCAAGTCGTTATTACCCTTCTCTTTTACAACGTGGTGAGGTCTAGTTATCATAGTTTTCTTCCTGTACGTGTGCACTCATGTAAGCACCCACCTGATTGTGCTTGCGGAGGTTGAGCTCTGGCTCTTTGGTCCCGCCTCTCAACTGTCAATCAACTGGTGTGTGTGTGTGTGTGTGTGTGTGTGTGTGTGTGTGTGTGTGTGTGTGAGTGAGTGAGTGAGTGAGTGAGTGAGTGAGTGAGTGAGTGAGTGTGTGAGTGTGTGTGTGTGTGTACTCAGTTCTACTCACCCAGTTGTGCTCTTCGTACTCACCTCTTTGTACTCACCTCGTACTCACTTCGGCTCTTTGGTCCCGCCTCTCAACTGTTCAACGGTGTGTGTGGGCGTGAGTGTGCGAGCGGGCGGGAGGGCGTGGGCGTGTGTGGGCAAGACAATAATGATGGTATCTTGTGCAAGCGTGGAAGGCTCATCCGGCTATAATTGCACCCAGTAATGAGCAAGGTACACGCTATCATGCCCGTCCCTCCCTGCTCCATCCTGCATGGTTAACACCTTCCCCCACCTCAATAGTTAATACCTTCCTCCATGGCCTAGTTAACACCTCCTCCACCGGCCTGTCCTCTAGTTAACATCTCCTTCACCTGTCTAATTAACACATCCTCCATCCATAATCTCTCAATTGGCTAATTAACAAACCAGCATTCCCCACCTGCCTGGTTCACACCTATTCCGCCTCTCCCACCTGCTTGCCTAACAAATCCTCTCTCCTCACCTTCCAAGCTACCCCCCCCCCTCTCCCCTTCCTCACCTCTCCCCCCCCTCCCCTTCCTCACCTCCCCCCCCCCTTTTGTCTCCCGTACATGACCTAGATATTACCTCCAGTAAATAGGTAGCTGGGAGTTAGTCAGCTGTCACAGGCTGCTTCCTGGGGGTGGAGGCCTGGTCGAGGACCGGGCCGAGGGGACACTAAGCCCCAAAATCATCTCAAGAGATAACCCCCCTCTTCCCTCACTTGCCTAGGTATTCCTTCCTACAAACTATAGAGCTGAGTGTCGCTGTTGTAGTTGTTATAGATTCAGCTATTCGGAACAAGTTCCAAGTAGCACGGGCTATGGTGAGCCCGTAACTTACCTGGCACAGGAGCGGGGCAAGAAGCACGGGCTATGGTGAGCCTCGAGAGAGTGACGCTTAAAAGATTGATTGATAAAGATTAAGCCACCCAAGAGTTGGCACGGGCATGAATAGCCCGTAAGACGCTTGAAACACGGTTGGTAAACTTTATCCTAGTTCAGTTCACTTGAGGCATTTATTATGCACCCCATACCCACCCCGTGGGCGGTGGTGGTGAAGGTTACAGAGGCACTTCAGAGCAGGCGAGGAGTCACAATAACGTGGCTAAAGTAAGTTGACCAGACCACACACTAGGTGAAGGGACGACGACGTTTCGGTCCGTCCTGGACCATTCTCAAGTCAATTGTCACACTCGACTTGAGAATGGTCCAGGACGGACCGAAACGTCGTCGTCCTTTCACCTTCTAGTGTGTGGTCTGGTCAACTCACAATTCAAATCTTGGCACACGACTGTCAGATCATCGCCTCCAGCACCAGTCATTATCTTGCCTCACCATACAACTATTTCCTCCTCAATAGAGCACCACATTTTGACGTATAAGGCCAAAACATCGTCGTATTAGAAAATGGTAGTGGCTCGCTAATTGACATTATGTCCCGTTTTCTGTTTTAGGTCCTCTGGTAGGTGGGGAAGAGGGGGACTTTAGCACGACCGTAACTTGACGTTGGGAAACCTTAGGACGACGGGCTGTGTCGTCCTAAGATTTCCCAACGTCAAGAAACTGTTGTACTAAAGGGACCTTATCCTAATCTACCAGAGGACCTAAAACAGAAAACGGAACAGTATGTCAATTTCGCGAGCCGCTGACAATTTATAGTACGACGATTTTTGGCCTTAGGTAAAGGTGTACGTCAAAATACGACGTGCTATTAGGTGGAGTGGTTACGTCATCAACGCTGCCATGGCCACCACCATTGCCATGGCCCACCACCACAATTGCCATGGCCCACCACCACAATTGCCATGGCCCACCACTACCATTGCCATGGCCCACCACCACAATTGCCATGGCCCACCACCACAATTGCCATGGCCCACCACTACCATTGCCATGGCCCACCACCACAATTGCCATGGCCCACCACCACAATTGCCATGGCCCACCACCACAATTGCCATGGCCCACCACCACAATTGCCATGGCCCACCACCACAATTGCCATGGCCCACCACCACAATTGCCACGGCCCACCACCACAATTGCCATGGCCCACCATTGCCACGGCCCACCACCACAATTGCCATGGCCCACCATTGCCATGGCCCACCACCACAATTGCCACGGCCCACCACCACAATTGCCATGGCCCACCACCACAATTGCCATGGCCCACCATTGCCATGGCCCACCACCACAATTGCCATGGCCCACCACCACAATTGCCATGGCCCACCACCACAATTGCCATGGCCCACCACTACCAATGTCATGGCCCACCACCACCATTGCCACGGCCCACCACCACCATTGCCATGGCCCACCACCACCATTGCCACGGCCCACCACCACCATTGCCACGGCCCACCACCACTATTGCCATGGCCCACCACCACAATTGCCATGGCCCACCACTACCATTGTCATGGCCCACCACCACCATTGCCACGGCCCACCACCACCATTGCCACGGCCCACCACCACCATTGCCATGGCCACCACCACCACCACCATTGTCATGGCCCACCACCACCACCATTGTCATGGCCCACCACCACCACCACCACCATTGTCATGGCCCACCACCACCATTGCCACGGCCCACCACCACCACCACTTCCATAGCCACCACCACCACCACGGCCCACCACCACCATACCCACCACCACACAAGCAGTACATCACAAGCTACACAGGAAGTGGAGCACATGTACACCCGCGTGCGGGGGATAATTACACCCGCCATTGCTCTTAAAGGTTACTGCCCAATTTACGACTAGATATATATACCCCACTTGTGCTAACACCTCAATAACCTGCCTGACAGTCTACACACTGCTTGATCACAACCCTGCCACTAAAATACTAATTTATGATGGAAAAACAGCTATTTAAATGTTTTTTACACAACTTTATTTCAAAATGTGTTGAATTTTGTCTCAAGAGTTACACATTTTCTGTACATGGGAATGGATTGAGAATGACTATATAATTAAGTGCTATTATCTACTCTCTATCCATGAGTTAGGTTAGGTTAAGATTACTTTAGCTTAAAGTTTGGTTTGGTTGGGTTTGTTTAGGTTTCATTGTGTTTGGTTACAATAATACTGTGTATTATTGACGATAATGTGAAATATGGACTTCGAAAACTATTTGCGTCTACCCGAGAATTCTATTTATAGACACCAAATTCTCCAAAGAAAACGTTTTCAGAAAATACTTTTTTTATATTTTAAACAGTTTATAATACAATAAAGGTATAGCTTGAGAATAATCTCTTTCAGAACAAAGGTTCACGTGTCAGTTTAAAGGTAGACATTACAGGAACTGTAATATGCTTTTAGACTATCACAAATATCTAGTTAACTATCCAGGTGGTCTGAGGGGGTTTGTGGTTTCTCACGATAATATATTTGCTTTGAGGACAGGTTCGAGGACGAGCTCCCTTTACAGTGTGGTAACTAAGCTGAAGCTGCCAGTCTTTTAGAAAAATACTGTAAGCATATATCAACAGATAAAACGTCAAAGCCCAACACAGCATCAACAGCGCCATAGATACAATGTCAGAATCCAACACAGCATAACAAAACGCCTATGGATAGCCCACAAAAACCCAACACAGCATCAACAGCACCATAGATACAATGTCAGAATCCAACACAGCATAAAAAAAACGCCTATGGATAGCCCACAAAAGCCCAACACAGCATCAACAGCGCCAGTGCCCACAACACCAAAAACAAAACATGAACAATGGATACAAAACAATATCTCCCACTATGCAATCAGAAGAGTAAAAACATAATATTATCAAGGTGTCATAAAGTAATCAAATAATAATGGTAATAATAATAAAAATAATTCACTGTGTTGGGGGACAGGAAGCCAGAGTGTATTCATACATTTAGGATTTTTATCGAGCCCCCAGCACCCCCCCCCCCCCCTCAGGGTCGAATTACTGACCCCGCCCAGGATGTAACCCCATAACAAGCTGACTATCTCCTGAGTACCTACTTGCTGCTAGGTGAACAGATGAATTATGTGAAAGTTAATGTGCCCAACCATTTCAGTCCCGCCCGGGATTCAAACCCAGAATTCTTGATTGTGCGTAGAGAACGACCTCCACTGTACTACCGGGACCCTCAAAGACTGTCTAGTTACTGATGAATGTTTGAACGGCTGCAAAATTACAACTCCTTTCCCATTTCACTGTGGTTTTCCGCACATCTATGATCAGTGTTATCGCTAGTTGCATATACTGTATACAGTACGTATATACATGTATGTACATGTATATATATATATATATATATATATATATATATATATATATATATATATATATATATATATATATATATATATATATATATATAGCCTCTCCCTCAACGAATGCCAGTGGAAACAAGCAACTCTTCCTGTTAGGCTCGGTGGCTTGGGTGTCCGCACCGCCACCCAAATTGCTGTCCCAACCTTCCTGTCTTCCTCCTCAGCATCAGATGACCTGGTTAAGGAAATTCTACCTGACACCCTGAGTGATATAGCGGGGATACAGAACCCCCACTACACGGAATGCGACACGAAATGGGGTGCCACTGCAGACCCAGCACTCAGACCAGCCATGCCGAAAGCCAAGAAACAATCCAGTTGTTTTTCGCTCTCCGTCTTGCTGCCCCTATCTATACTGTTCATAGGTGTATTTGCGGCGAGGCAGATGCTGACGAATATGGATTGCATGGCCTGCACTGTGGAAAATCTGGTGGTTGGCACACTAGACACGACGAAGTCAACGACATCATTAAAAGAAGCCTTGCCTCTGCTCAGTGTCCAGCGGAGAGAGAGCCCCGCAACCTACTGAACCGTGGACTCTGTTAGCTTTGCCGGCCGACCAGACAGAATCATACTGCGTCCGTGGAAGTGTGGCAGACAGTTGGCAAGGGACTATACTTGTGTATCCACCCTGGCAACCACATACATCAACCTCTCTGCCGGCACAGCAGGAGCCGCAGCAACACACAGAGAAAGAGACAAGTCAGCCAAGTACAAGCAATTAGATCATCGGTACAACTTCGTTCCAATAGGGTCCGAGACCCTAGGCCCATGGGGAGAGAGTGCAAGAAGGTTTCTTAAGGATCTTGGTTCCAAGCTCATTGACACCACAAGAGACCCTAGAGCGGCAAGTTTTCTCTTTCAGCGCCTCAGTGTCGCGATCCAGAGGGGGAATGCTAGCTGCATCCTTGGTTCCTGGCCGGCGTCGGAGGAGTTCGAGGAAATCTACAGCCTCTAGGAAGCGAACTTTTTTTTGGGTCCTCTTAATGTTAATTTTTTGTATAAAATCAGATATGTAACTGTATAACCTTGCATAATAAAGTGTACACCATAAAAAAGGGGGGTGGTAGAAGCGAACACTCTTACGTATTCAGAGTTAAATGGTAAGTTTTCCCTGAATGCTCTGTGTTCCCTTCTCTGAGGCTGTGGGTCCCTATAATTGCACCAGTGGTGGTACCCCCCTTGAGGTTATCTTGATGTGATTTCGGGGCTTTTTAGTGTCCCCGCGGCCCGGTCCTCGACCAGGCCTCCACCCCCAGGAAGCAGCCCGTGACAGCTGACTAACTCCCAGGTACCTATTTACTGCTAGGTAACAGGGGAATTCAGGGTGAAAGAAACTTTGCCCATTTGTTTCTGCCTCGTGCGGGAATCGAACCCGCGCCACAGAATTACGAGTCCTGCGCACTATCCACCAGGCTACGAGGCCCCATATATATGTATACATTATATATATATATATATATATATATATATATATATATATATATATATATATATATATATATATATATATATATATATATATGTCGTACCTAGTAGCCAGAACGCCCTTGTCAGCCTACTATGCAAGGCTCGATTTGCCTAATAAGCCAAGTTTTCATGAATTAATTGTTTTTCGACTACCTAACCTACCTAACCTAACCTAACCTAACTTTTTCGGCTACCTAACCTAACCTAACCTATAAAGATAGGTTAGGTTAGGTTAGGTAGGGTTGGTTAGGTTCTGTCATATATCTACGTTAATTTTAACTCCAGTAAAAAAAAATTGACCTCATACATAATGAAATGGGTAGCGTTATCATTTCTTAAGAAAAAAATTACAGAAAATATTTTAATTCAGGAAAACTTGGCTTATTAGGCAAATTGGGCCTTGCATAGTAGGCTGAGAAGTGCGTTCTGGCTACTAGGTACGACATATATATATATATATATATATATATATATATATATATATATATATATATATATATATATATATATATATATATATATATATATATATATATATATATATATATATATATGCGAACAAGCCTGAATGGTCCCCAGGACTATATGCGTCTGAAAACTCACACCCCAGAAGTGACTCGAACCCATACTCCCAGGAGCAACGCAACTGGTAACTACGGGGCGCCTTAATCCGCTTGACCATCACGGCCAGACAAAAGGAAGTGATAGCCGAAGCTATTTGAACCACTTCCCCGCCGGCAACTCGGATGGTAATCTTGGGCATAGCATTTTATCAAATCACCACATTCTTTGGGGCACACGTGAGGAACACAAATGCGAACAAGCCTGAATGGTCCCCAGGACTATATGCGTCTGAAAACTTACACCCCAGAAGTGACTCGAACCCATACTCCCAGGAGCAACGCAACTGGTAACTACGGGGCACCTTAATCCGCTTGACCATCACGGCCGGACAAAAGGAAGTGATAGCCGAAGCTATTTGAACCACTTCCCCGCCGGCAACTCGGATGGTAATCTTGGGCATAGCATTTTATCAAATCACCTCATTCTTTGGGGCACACGTGAGGAACACAAATGCGAACAAGCCTGAATGGTCCCCAGGACTATATGCGTCTGAAAACTTACACCCCAGAAGTGACTCGAACCCATACTCCCAGGAGCAACGCAACTGGTAACTACGGGGCGCCTTAATCCGCTTGACCATCACGGCCGGACAAAAGGAAGTGATAGCCGAAGCTATTTGAACCACTTCCCCGCCGGCAACTCGGATGGTAATCTTGGGCATAGCATTTTATCAAATCACCTCATTCTTTGGGGCACACGTGAGGAACACAAATGCGAACAAGCCTGAATGGTCCCCAGGACTATATGCGTCTGAAAACTCACACCCCAGAAGTGACTCGAACCCATACTCCCAGGAGCAGTCACTTCTGGGGTGTGAGTTTTCAGACATATATATATATATATAT